TTTATGACTTGCCATGAATCGATATTACTTTCTAAGCAAGAGTTCACCCATTCTTTAAGGTCATCTCTTACAATTTTGCCATTATTTATTGATATCATAACCTCGTCATTAGTTGATGTGCTTAAGTTATGAAATTTTGTGTAGTTTTCCCATTTGTTCAGCAAGTTGTTATTATACGTTACAAAGTCAAAATCTTCCCAATCTGTAAATTGTAGTGAATTTTCCTTTATATCTAAATGACATGCTCTGTATAATCTGTGCCCAAAAATAATACTTTTGGGTAAAAAATGCCCATAAGTTTTAAATACTTTCAATAATTCATGATAAGGATTGTGGTGCTTTAATGCTTTTTCTACTGCATTATTTAGCTCTGTAAATGGTTTTAGTTCGATATTTTCAAAATTTAATTCTGCCCTTGGGCACAATATTCCTAGATAAACAATTGATTTATTTGATTCATTTGGTGAAATATCATCAATATCAAACAGCCAGCCCAATATTCTGTGTCAATATCAGAAGGATCAATATAATTATTTAATAGAAATAAATATTTTGCGTTTTGTAGAAAGTATTAGTTTTGTTTGAGTTTTACTAGTTTTATCATCTAATATTAAAGATTTAGGCATTATATCAAAGAATGCAGGTTCATCAGCAATTCGTAATCCTGATTGCTGATTGAAATGCCATGGTTTAAAATTTTGCTCCTGAAATTTTGCATCACTTCTACCTAGATCTTGCCAAATAATATATGCACACAAGAACTTTAAAGTGCCTATATAGGTCTTTCATAATATAAATATATGCGTTATCAAAATTTGTATTCCATTGTAACGTTGTACATACTTAAGCTTTGTTGCACATATAAGCAAAATTTGTTTATTTAAGAACAAAAAGCTAGTTGGCTTAATAAAATTTAGAATTATTTAATTATTTAGCAATTTTTTTGTTGGAATAATTTAGAAAGTTTACAGATTCACAAGTAATTTGGATGATGATTAGAATACCCTCTAAGATTGGATTTTATAGTA